GGGGGTTCAGGAGTGTGAGGTGCGAGGGCTTCTGTATGGGCTTTTGGGCTTTTTGGCCTTTGTGGGCTTCAGGCTTTCCAAAATTCTTGGAGCTCTGCGAAGCCCAAAAAGCCCTGAAGCCTCAAAGTCCTAAGGCCTGAAGTATCCTGTATTTGTAACCCACCCGAAATCCCCTGAGCCCTAAAACTCCTAAACCCTAAGCCCTAAACCCAAAACCCCCCAACGCTTACAACCCAATGTAGTTCCTTTTGGGGGTAATTTCTAACCCACCCCAACCACGCCGCCCCCCGCCCCCCACCCCCAAAAGCCCTAGAACTGCTAAACCCCAAACCCTAAACCCCAAACCCCATGCTGATTAAAGCATCAGCCGTCTCACTTACATTGATCGCATTGACTTCAAGTCCGTGTCAACCCTAAACCCCAAACCCCAATCCTCAATCCCTAAAGCCCGGAAACCTCTGAAGCTCCTCCCGAAACTGCGAAAGCGTCAAGCGAGTTGGGCTCAGGCGGTGGTCATGATCCTTGCGCCGTTAGGCCCGTTCGTTTCCTTCTTAGGGTTTAGGGTTTAAGGTTTAAGGTTTAGGGCTTAGGGTTAGGAGCTTAGGGGTTAAGGGGTCTTGGGGGGGTAAGGGGTTTTAGGGTGCTGGCCCTCGCTTCCTTTTAGGGTTGCTTGGGGGCTTAGGGGTTTGGAGTTTACAGGGTTGAGGGGTTTAGGGTTCAGGTTTTCGCTTCCTGTGTGAAGGGGGTTTAGGGGTTTAGGGGTTTAAGGGGAGGCTCACCAGGTTCGTCGCTTGAGTTTTTTTCGCGGTCCGTGCTTTGGGAGGTAGCTCCCGCTTTGACGTTTCAATCAGCAGTACATGGTTCGTCAGCTCGACACTGACTTTCATGGAGGGTTCCGGGGTTTGGGGGTTTAGAACACCGGCCTCCATTACCGCTTAGGGTTTTGGGGTCTAGGAGGTTTAGGGGGTTTAGGGGGTTTAGGGGGTTGCCTTCGTCTCTTTCTTAGGGAGGTGGTTTTGGGTTTAGGGTTCAGGCCTTCCTTTCCGGGCCAGGGGTTGAGGGCTTAGGGGTCAGGCCTTCGTTTCATTTTTGGGTTCGGAATTCCCGGTTTAGGGGATAAGGGGATATTATCTGCCCTTTCCACAAAGTGACAGGACCATGCATAGGACCTCCGCAAAGGTATTGGGGGATGGTTTTGGGGAGTTTTCAATCCGGCGGAGGGTGGTGATCGAGGTAGGGATTTCGGGTGTGCGAGTTCATGGTTCAGGGTTTCGGGTTTCGGATTAGGGTATTGCGACGCGGGGGGGTGGGGTCGGGGATTCAGGGTCTGAAGGTTTAGGCTTTTAGGGTTGTGTCTACGTAAACATGCAGTTCATTGCGCTCAACCCCACACCCATCCCAAAAAAGTCTCAACCCCCCCCCCCCCCCCCCCCCCCTAAACCCTAAACCCTAAACCCTAAACCCTAAACCCTAAACCCTAAACCCTAAACCCTGAACCCTGAACCCTGAACGCTGAACCCTAACCAAAAGGTCTGGGCATTGCCCTCTGCCGCTTGGCGGGCAGCCGGGCCCTGGATGTCGCGCGGGGGCCCAGAAAGGGTTATGTAAGGGTTTAGGGTTTAGGGTTTAGGGTTTAGGGTTTAGGGTTTAGGGTTTAGGGTTTAGGGTTTATATATATATATATATATATATATATATAGGGGAGTTACCAACCGTTTTCCCTTTTGTTCCAGGTTTGCCTCAAGGGTTGCTGGCATTGACATCCATGCGCTGCTCGCAAAGACGAAAGATCCCCTTTCTTCCGCTCAAAGCACAAGAGACATGTCAAGTTACTATTCTGCTTACGTCATCTCGTGTGACGTTACAAGACTGTACACTTCCATAAAAGGTGCTGGCCAAGGGTTTATCATGACATCGTAGCCTTCCCTTGAACCAGCAAGTCGCATTGGCGTTCTCGGGTCTTCAAACGCAGCATACCCTTTAGGCGCTACGCTCTCTCCCCACACAGCTTCCCATGCCCTTCATATCCACACTCCTCCTCTGGAGAGCCGCAAGGCTTCTTCAGCTAGGGATTGGGAATGCAGATTCAGCCTGCGCTTGATCTTTACAAAACGTACAAAGCTGTCTGTACATCAAAGGCTTTGATAAACGTCTCAAGCCGGCACAATTGTTGTATGCATGGTACTTGTCGCTGTCGTTGATGAGGTAGATGGCCTCCGGCGGCATGGGTACGTACTGTGTGTAGTTCCTACGGGCCCTTCTTATTGAAGATGTAGATGGAGGTGGCGGTGGATCATATACTTCATGTGAACTTCCCGGGGGCATAGGCGGCGGGGTCGGCCTGTCATCGTGCTCTGGACATGGACGAGTCGGGCAAGGCGTAGTCGGGGCCTGCGGCAAGCCAAGGAGCTGAGATATCTCCTGCTCTTCTTCTCTTTCACGACGTCCCCGGGCCTTCCTCGCCTGCAATTCGTCCTGGATTGCCATGGCGGCTGCATCCCTCACCTTCTTCAGTCGTCGTATCTTCCGTTCTTTTGCTCCTGGTGTCCACGTAACGATGAACTCATAGCCCATCCATTTCGCGATCTCCCACATGGTCAAGATTCCACCAACCACCAACAACATGAAGAACAGCGATGCCAGGTCGGTGTCCAGCTCCAAGGATTTGCGCACATGGCCTTCGACCCTTCCGGAGCTTTCAGGCTGCGTCCGTCCCTCCGAACGCACAGCCATCATGCACCAAATCATCACTGTCATCACCCGCGCTGCTTGTTCACGTGCTGCTGCCGCTCGAGCTGTGCTTCCTGTCCCGGGGTTGATCGAGTCCGTTGCTTCCTCCCGCGGGCCAAGACCCCACAATCTTGCCAACTCCAGTATCCTGGTTGACGTCAAGGCTTTCGTCAATAGATCTGCCAGTTGTAGTCGGCCTTCGATGTGGCCAAGGCCGAGCTCATGCGCCTCTAGCCTTTCCTGAAGCCACATTGCCTTCACGCGAAGGTGGCGTGTCCTCCAACTTGATGCTCCTTTCGAGATGGAGATTGCCGAGGTGCTATCGCACCACAACTGCTTGGAAAGATCGCTCAGGCCCAAATCCTCCATCGTCGCCCCACTTGACAACAGCGCCAGCGCTCCGTCCAGCTCTGCACCAAGTTCGCACTCCGCCGTGGAGATTGCCGTGGTCGTTTGACGGCTCGACTTCCACATAATTGGGCATCCGTAGAGCAGGATTGCCACACCTTGGTGACTCTTCCCGCCGCTCGGCGCAAAGGAGGCATCAGCATATCCATGGAGCTCTGTGGAGTCTGCGATGAACTTCAGCACCCAATGCTTTGTCCTCTGGAGAAAACCCAAAGTTCTCTCCGCCACCGTTGAAACCCTCATTGGATCTCTTGTGCTGAGTGATGCCGCCAATGAGGAAGCGAAGGCGACATCTGGTCGGGTCCTTTGCGAAATCCATAACAGCTCTCCCGCGTATTGTTGAGCATCTCGGATCGCGGTAGCCTCGGCAATCACACCTTCTTCCACATCGAAGTTTGCCATGTCGCGGGGCACGGGGATGAGGTTCAAGGCGGTCTCTGGGATACGATGCAGGCGGAGCAACTCTTCTATGTAGGCCTTCTGTCCCAACACATAGCCACCCTCTACCTCCTCGATCTCCACTCCTAAGAACCTCACCGGTTGGTCTCGACCAATAATCTGCAGCCCTCCCGTGTTCCACAGGTTCTCGATCGCGGCTGCGCACGCCTTGATGACCTCAAGCATTGCACATATGAGGAAATCATCCACGTAAATTATGACCAGACCTTCTATGGTGCCGTCTTCGGTCTGGATGGTCCACCACGTGTCCTCGATCTTGCCCTGGTGCAGGAGGTACTTGATATCCCCAACGACGAAGGTGAGGATGTTCATCTCGCCATCTCTAAAGCGACTCCATAGGCGCGGGCTCTCCTTCATCCCGTAGAAAGCATGGGTGAAATACCAAAGTTCACCAGGCTTTATGAGTCCCAGGCGAAGTAGAAGCTTCGGAGGGCTTCCAGCCACCACTGGGAACCCAGGCTCATTGCGGATCGGCGTCCTCAAGAAGGCCGCTGTCACGTCGATCACTCCCAGCTTCCATCCCCTTCGGCTTGCCAGCGCAATTGCAATTCGAAGGACCTCGGCAGTGGCTCCCGACGTGTAGACTTCGTTTTCATTGTCTTGGGCATGATTTCCACACACCACGATCCTCGCCTTTCGGCGATACCATGGGTCCTCTGGCCGCTCCGGCGCCTCAGCTGGAGGTTTGCAAGTGAAGACAAACTTCATCGGCAGCACCTGGAGGCCTGGCATGTTCAGGATCTGGTAATACTCCTCCTGGCCTGGGACCACCTTGATGATGGCGTGCGATACCGCGTCCAACTCTTTCTGGATGGATTGCCTCCAGGATTCCAGAACCGGGATCACCTCCGCCTGCGCAACATTGTGGACCACTGCCAGGGGCTTTGCCAACGATTTCAACACCTCCTCAATTCCGGTCGTGTAGCTCACCTCCACCTTCTTCAGGAACGCCTCCTCCCATGTTGGCTCGCCAGGCTGCATCCTTACCATCATCACGGACTTTCGCTGCAAAGCTTTGCCATCAACCGCTGACGATGTGGGCAGTGGGATTGCGATGTCCCAGAGGGCATTTTCTTCTGTGCCCCCAACGTCGCCCGCGAAATCCAAGTCCCAATTTGCACAGGGCTTTCCCCAATTGAACTCGAACTCCACCTCATCATCCTCGATCTCATGTTGGCCGCTCTCCACAGCTTCACACGCCCGATCCACCACGCATTGCGCCGCTACACCTGTTGGTCTTTCCCCAGAACCCGCTTCCAAAGCTACCACGGGAACCACAAAGCCCAGGTCTTCTAGGACTTCATAGGCCAAGGTGTCTAATCCCCTCATGGTGTTCACGGTGCAGCCGACAAGCACTGTCCTTTTCCCTTTCCATGGCATCACCCAATGTCTTCTGAATGGGTCTACTCGTCGTACTTGTCTGTCCGGCATGGGATGGGCGCAACCGAAGTAAGTTCCTTTGTTGTCAGAGGCGGCCACAATCGGCCCTCGCACTGTATCTCCATCTTGCAGTTCGACCCACAAGCTTCCACCAGATTTCGGAGGCTTGATGACCACCGCGTAGTTCTTTGTGAGAGGATGGTTTTGCGAATCACGATGTAGGCGCCGTTCATCAATGCTTCGAGGACGTCACTGGGAAAACCAGGATCATGTAGCCCAACTCGAACATTGGTGGTGTGGATGAATGAGTTTCTCGCCTCGTTAAACACCAGATGGCCACCCTGGACATAGTCAGACAAGCCCACGTACCTCGCTTCCTCCCACTTCGCGCCAAAGGAGTCCTTTGCCTTCGATTTTTCTTTGAGGTCGTAGTCGTAGTGCCGCTTCTTCACCATGACCTTCGCCCCAAACGGCGCCATCAACTTTGTCATGAAGCCCAGAACGTCCGCCCGTTGCATGGCAGCCGCCGCTGCAGCCGCCTGCGGCCACAACTTCTTCGGCAGCCCTGAAGCCCCAAGCAGCGTCCTTGTCCTTTGCTTCACCCACCTGACCGTCTGCTCCACCGAACCATTAGACTGAGGCACTCCCGGCTCCGATGTCGTCACCCTGATCGACTGGTTCTTCAGGTAGGAGCGGATCATCCTTCCTTGAAACGCAGAGGCCTTGTCAGAGTGGTGTCGTAGGACAGGTAGATTGTGATGGCGAAGATATGTGAGGATGTCCTGCAGAGCTTCCAAGATCTCAGCTGAGGTTCCGGAAACCAAGGGCGTGGCGAAGACCAAGTAGGTGGATTCTGGAGGTTTGGTGTCCCCTTCCGCCATCTGAGGGTTTTGCACCCTCTTTCCACTTTCCTCAGCTTCACAATCCTCCTCCAACTCACCATCACCATCACTCACACCTGCACCCACATGGGCGTTTCGCTCATCTTGCTCTTGGTCCTCAGGTTCAGAAGGGCTATATGGCTCCAACTCCTTCTCCAATTGGTCACCCTCGTCGAACGGGCTGGTGTTCTCATCGACTACCTCCCCATCCTCAGCAGTCTCTTCCCAGGTCCCATTGGCAAACGACGCTGGAAATCGGTACTTGCACACCAACAGGTTTTTGAACTGCTTGTAGAAGGGGCTTCGGGCGTTGTGGTCCAATCCTGCTTCATGCGGGCCAGAAAGGTCGGATGTTAACGTGAACATCTCCGGATGGCTCACTCGGCGATGCGGTCTTCCACTGGCCCCGAACATGCTGCAGTACAAGCAGTCCCGACGAGGAGGCAAATGGCCCCGAGCCACGTGCTCCTTCCATTGGCCCACCGTCATAGCCGTCAATGCCGGGGTCACCAACCATTCCTTCAAGGCCAGAGATATCGCTGCGCATAGGCCTGGAGCCCACGCCGCCAGAGCTTCGGATGGGCCGTCGAAAGGCTCGAGGACCCCTTTGGTTTTCGCTCCTCGAAGCAACGCCAGAGACATCATGTTCGTTCCCAGCGTCGTCGGCTTGATGGCTTTGTGACCATAGGCGCCCTGCTCGAAGCTGACCTCCGTGAGTCCTGCCTCCGCTGCGTACCTCTTCCACATTTCGGTATCCCAGAATGATGGCAACTCACTCCAGTTTGGGGTCGTGCTCGGCAAGTACTCATGGGGGTCTTGGGGCTGCTCCAGAACAAACGCCACCGTCGATGCTGACATTCTCCGGCCCAAACTTTGCAACCTCCCTGCCGTCGATTTTGCATGGAGCCAAAGCATGCGAACGAACAGCTTGGTATCCCGGGTCACCTGCAATCTTTCACTGGGTGACTGGTCCGGCCACCCATACGGGTTTGCCCGAGAACGTACTGGCGATGGCCCTGGCTCCCGAAAACGAAGTCGACTGAATGTTCTGCACGGCGGCCCTCCGATGACTGCTGCAATCTTGCCTTGCGACGCCGCCCATGACAAAGCCCGCCACAAGTCCTGGTCCAATAGGTTGTGGCCTTGGGACCTCGCAATGTCCAGCTCCAGGAGGACCCTGTCGCCATCGTTCAACCAGCTGAATGCCTCCTTCTTCGTCTTTCCAGCAAAGAGATGAACCACCCAGCTCTTCGATGACCACAAGCGTCGCCGCTGCCTCCGGTTGAGGAATGTCAGCTTCTTCAGGATCTGCCATCCACTCTCATTGTCCACTTCGTTGCCAGGCCATACAGTGCCTCCGCAGGGACGTCCTTCAAGAAGGGAGCCGCCGCGACTGCCTTGTCCTCTTGGCCTGAATGCCCATAGCAAGCCTCGCCCAGGTAGTCGAACCACGACTTATCCAGCGTCCTCGCCATCGCCTGAACCCTGGCCTCTGTGCCCTTGACATTCTCGGTGAACTGGTCCAGCTTCTTCTTCTCGATCTTCGAGATGAGCTCCAAAGCCCTGGCCTCCGAGATGTGCGGGCACCCTTCTTTGGTCGAAAGCCGCACAATGGTCCCATCTGGGCCCACCAAATGGCAGCTCGCAGGCCCCCACTCGAATCGATACCCCAGGGTCTTCACCAGCTCACCCACTGGGACGATGGCATTCGTTGTGGTCTCCCTGGCAGTTCCGTCCGCTCCAAAAAGCAGCGTGCCGGCGTTATTCATCTTCATCTGAACTTGCTCACCGCCGGCTAAGACCACATTAACCCACATGCTTTGATCCCACTCCTCCTGCGAATGCGGATGACGTAGGGAATGGGTAGCGCCGGTATCCGCCAAAGCCATAGGTGCCCTGTCGCTCCTTTCATTAATGGCGTCCAACTCCATGACCTTCGCCGCCTTCAACTTGATGTCACCTTTCTCACCCGCGCTCTTAGCCATCACAACCTGCTGGGCGGCCTGCATCAAGTTATCCAGGGTCCACACAGGCTCTCCAGGGGTAGTCGCCACCCCTTCTGCGCTGCCAATCGTAGCCGCCGAAGGTGGGATTGACGACCCACTTGATGACATGATCGTGCTGGATGAGGACGAAGGTATTGCTTCAGCAGACGTGGCCTGTATCTCGGCGACCTTTGGCGTGGTCGGTGGAATTTGCATCCGCTCAGCTCCTTCTTCACGCTTTGCATGACTTCGCTTTCCTCCACCTTTCGTTGGGCACTCTCGAGCTCGATGACCCTCAGCCCCACACGCCAGGCACTTCTTCATGCGTTGATCTTTGGGGAAGCTGGCCATATCATGCTTGTACGGGCACTTTTCTCCCCTTCTACAGCCCGAGGGTTTGCTGAAGTACCTACACAAGGCTTCATTGGTGTCCTTTCCAGTCGGCGAGGTGGGCGGCGACGACGTCATTGTAGTTCCTGGATGAGGCATGGACGACGTAGACGTAGCCCTAATCTTCGGGTTGGTATCCATCCCGCCAGCCGCTGCCATCTGTTCCACCTCCGCCTGCAGGTGCCGTTGGTAATCCTCCACCTGGCGTAGGGTGGGCTTCGCGTCCAAACGCAAAGAAGTGCGTAGCAGCTGCGTCCTGAAATGAGCATCCGGGTTTCCAGTGATGACCTTCGCCGTAGCCATGTCCAACCCTTTCGCCAGGACTGTTGGGTCTGGAGCACTCATTCCAAGCTGTTGGCACCGTCGTAGATGTCGAGGCCATCCACGCAGGATTTCCAGAGTCTCCGCGACATTCGTCCCGTGAGGTGGAGATTGGAGTTGCGCCAAAGTGTGTCCCCTTTCGGAAGACCCCCCCGGCTGGTACAGCACGAACAACCGGAACACCAGCTGAGTTACGTCCTGCGTTGCCCTCCTCGCGATCAAGTCCGAGCGAACCACCTCCGGGACAGCGTTGAGCAGCAGCTGGCACGCGCGTGCATTCACCCGCGTCCACCTCCCTTTCACTGCGTAGTCGGCATCCTCTGGCTGAATCGTCAGCCGCTCCAACTGCGTAGCCCCAAGCCACTTGGAGTACGAGCCCTCGACCGTTCGAAGGACGGCCTCCCACCATGCCCCGCTATTCTCGCTCAAGTCCTTCATGCCGGTGGAGATCACCTCGATCCAGTCCTGAAAAACCAGCGGTGCATCCTTCGTTCCCGGGACCGTTAACGTCAGCAGAGCTTGGAGCCCCGGCTTCACGGTCTCCGTTCCTCCCGGAGAATCCCCTCCACGTGCTCCTTGAAGATTGCGCTCTTGAAGCTCCTGAAGCTGACGTACTCCACGGGCAATTGCTTCGATCATCGGTGCCGACGTAAGTCCTCCTTGATCAGGGGGCGGCGATGGGGACCTTCCTTTGTTCCTTGAAAACAAAGATCCCAAGATGCCCTGGCTTCCAGTTGGTTCTGCTCCGGCGTTCCCATAGACACCCTCGAAGCTTCCCAGGCCTTCACGCGAGCGGCCCCGATGTGCACTGGAACCTTCTCCTCCCGAAGCCATGTTCCCCCGACCTGTCTCCGAGGCATCCCGGTCCTTGCAGAGCGGGCCAACGTTTCCTGCCGAGTCCTCAGCCACTGAAGCCAAACTTTGTCTTACCCCCCCATCCTGCGTAGGTTCTTGATGCGAATGCCTTCGTGGTTCAGGAAAACCATGTTCATCTGCAAGAGGACCTCCATGCATCCCAGTCCATCCTAGGGGTTCTTTACGAGGTAGACTTGGAGGTAGAGGCACTTCATGGCGAGGAAGACCCAGCGCTGCCGACCACGATGAGGACGCTGTTGTAGCCGGTTGCTCCGTAGGGCTTCGAAGGGTCTTGGTGGTTGCCATGCCTGCTGTCATTTGTTGCTTCAGCTGTCCTTCAAGAAGACTATTCCTCTGCTCGGCCATCTCAAGCCGATCAAGCAAAGGGCCCAGCTGACGTTGTACCTCAGCTTGCACCGCCTCCACAGACAGCCCACTTGATGATGGCGGTGTCAGATTCTGGCCCCTGGGCCTTGGTCCCTGCGGGGTCAACGTAGACGATCCACCAACTTGACGAGGTGGTGAGGCCAAAGGACTGGGCACCAGCTCATTGGAGCCAATAGCCCCCATAATCCGCGCTCCCACCCTAGAAATCCACGACCACCCCGACGGCAGCGTTTCCATTTGGGGAAAAGGTCCCCAAGGTGCCATAGAGGTCCGCGATCTCGGTGTGAAGTATTCTGCTCCTTGAAACACAGCAGCTTCCGTGTAGGCAACGTCGTGGTCCACCGGGCGGTTCATTGGCCCCGTCTGTCCACCCGCAGCTTCTACCTCTGGGCTCGCCGCTGCATCCCATCCTGCATCCACTTCACCAGCACTTGCACTGAGTCCTTGTCCACTTGCCCTCCCCGATCCCGAAGCTTCAACTTGTTGTTCATCATCACGAGGAGGAGGCGGGATCGGGCTCGAATTCGTCGCACCGTACCCATTGGTACCCGTGGTGCCATTCACCAACACAGCGGAGTGGTGCGCAGCTGAGCCTTGGGCGCTCATAACCTGTTGTTCCAGGTTTGCCTCAAGGGTTGCTGGCATTGACATCCATGCGCTGCTCGCAAAGACGAAAGATCCCCTTTCTTCCGCTCAAAGCACAAGAGACATGTCAAGTTACTATTCTGCTTACGTCATCTCGTGTGACGTTACAAGACTGTACACTTCCATAAAAGGTGCTGGCCAAGGGTTTATCATGACATCGTAGCCTTCCCTTGAACCAGCAAGTCGCATTGGCGTTCTCGGGTCTTCAAACGCAGCATACCCTTTAGGCGCTACGCTCTCTCCCCACACAGCTTCCCATGCCCTTCATATCCACAGTCCTCTTATATATATTTACCAACCGTATTCCCTTGTGGTCCTCTTATATATATATGTATATTTTTCCATTTTTTTTAGAATAACCTCTCAAAACCCTATTCCTATTATTAAGGTCCCCATGTTAGGGGATTGAGAGTTTAGGAAGCCCTACGCCTTGCACTCTAAGATCCAAACACCCTAAACCCGAAACTGCAGCCGAAACCCTAAACCGGAAACCCTCAAAGGCGTTGCGGGGTTCGGGTTTAGGGGTTCAGAGTTTGCAGTTCGTCCAGGTTAACTTTAGTGTTTGGGGTTGAGGGGGGGTCCGTTGGGGTGTCAGGGTTTTGCTATGGGTTTAAGGTACCCAGCCCCTAAACCCTAAGGAAAGAGTGCAAACACAAAAGATCCGGGGAGTATCGGGTCTTGAAATGTTACAGGCTTTAAACAAACCCTAAAACCCTGTACAGCCTCACCCTCTGTGCCCCCTCTAAAACCCTTCAACCCCCAAATCCTAAACCCGAAACCCAAAAACAAGACTTTCAGAACTAACCCTAAACCCCAAACCCTAAACTGCCAACCGGCGACTCTATGTGGCAAGGTTGCCGATCCGGGGTCAACTCGCCGTTTCTTAGCAGGCTCCTTAGTAGGCCCTAGGGTTTTGGGCTGCAACCAGGTATCCCACATCCCTTCATACATCCCCTTTCAGGGGTTAGGTAGGATACCTACTTCCCCAATTCTCTACTAAGAACCGGGAACACATCCTCTTGAATTCTCATGGTGAGCCCAAGATGCCTGCAGGCGTGGATCCTTCTGTGCCTTTGCGTAGGAGAGGCCGGAACCTTTTTTGCCACCAAGCAAGGTTGTAGGCTTTCGGGTTTGGGTTTATGGTTTGGGTTGGGTTTCCACAGTTTAAGGCCTCTTCTCCTACTAACACGTGGTGAACCCTAACCCTCAACCCTAGTCCCTAGTCCCTAAACCCTAAACCCTAAACCCTAAACCCTAAACCCTAAACCCTAAACCCTAAACCCTAAACCCTAAACCCTAAACCCTAAACCCTAAACCCTAAACCAGAATCCCTAAACCTTAAGTGAGAGTTTCGGCCTGAAGGTTTGGAGTTTAGGGCTTTTAGGGTTTATAGCCTTTTCCTGGAGTTTCACATGCCCTTTTTTGCAGCTGAGAACTTGCCTTATGTGTCGAGTATTCTCTGAACCCTAAACCCTAAACCCTAAACCCTAAACCCTAAACCCTAAACCCTAAACCCTAAGCCCTAAACATTTTTTAGGCCCTAAAGCCTAAAGTTGTAGTCGCACTTTGGAAGTAAGGCAAGCGACTGTTATCGGGTGAGGGCATGTGAGTTCAAGGTTTAGCGCGGGTTCTGGAACTTGAGGGTTCCAGGGGTTTAGGGTTTAGGGTTTAGGGTTTAGGGTTTAGGGTTTAGGGTTTAGGGTTTAGGGTTTAGGGTTTAGGGTTTAGGGTGTGGTGCGTGTAGGGGTTTGGGGTTTCTGGGTTTAGGGTTTAGGGAGTTAGCGGATTTGGGGTTTAGCGGGTTAGGGGGTTTCGGGTTTAGGGGCTTAGGGGTTTAGCGGATGAGGGGAGTAGGGGTTTAGGGTTTAGGGATTTAGGATTTAGGGTTTAAGTGGGAACAGGGGGCCGTCCACACCATCCTTCCTGCCAGTCAGTGTGAGAACCCTAAACCCTTAACCCTAAACCCTAAACCCTAAGCCCTAAACCCTAAACCCAAAGCCCAGAACCCAAAACCCAAAACCCAAAACCCAAAACCCAAAACCGTAAACCGTAAACCCTAAACCCTACACCCTAAACCCTATACCCTAAATCCTTGTGAAGTTTCCTCGGCTGGAGATCAGCGCCAGATGTGGCAGCAGACCCAAAAAAGACTTTGGTGCCTCCACCGGCGGGGCCTGGTGAGCCAGACACGCAGACCTTTTTGCCTTAGGGTTTAGGGTTTAGGGTTTAGGGCTTAGGGCTTAGGGCTTCAGGTTGAGGGTTTAGGGTTGGTGACTCGCCTGGGTTGCCAGGTATCTTGGTCACGTGAAAAGGGTTTGAGGCTGCGACATCCAAAGAGGGGGCAGCTGCGCACTTCTCTGAAAGATGGGTGCCCTCAGGTCGATGAGGAAGTACGCCGTTTGGTGCGGGAGTTTGAAGCAGATCAGCTAAAGCGTGTTTATGGCCAGCCTGCTTCCACCAAGGTCATCGTAGATGTCCAAACTTAAGAGTCAGGTGTGGCCGGGTGTTGGGCATGCGTGTCCTAAACCCTAAGTCCAGCTTGAGTTGTTATCTTCTCACGGCACCACAGGCTTCTTTCTGGTTTTTTTTGGAGGTTGGAAGAAGAGCTGAGCATGTGAGCTCCGAAGCCCTGCACGCTAAAGCAGCCGCGCCTGCTCGCAACACTCTGTTGCTCCCGGACTTTTGGAGCACAGCCTAGATGGTTCATGGCAGACGTTGTAAAAACCATGAACCCTAAACCCTAAACCCCAAACCCCAAACCCTAAACCCCAAAATGCGATCTAAGTAAGCCACGCCTCTCTAACCTTGGCCTTACGACAGAGGTTGCCTCCATGTCGCTCCAGACGAAGGTGGCGCGGGGTGTTGGACGGCATCGGTGAAATTGAAGTAGGGTTCAGGGTTCAGGGTTCAGGGTTTAGGGTTTAGGGTTTGGGGTTTGTTTAAGGTTGAGGGCCCGAAGCGTGAAACCTCAAACTCAACGGGTTTAGAGTTGAGGATGCCATGAGGGAGGAAAGCTTCAGGGAGGAAAGCGGCATTCTTGAGTATGTATATATATATATATAAATATATATATATATGTATATGTATATGTATATGTTTATGGCTATCTATATATATATATATAATTGTTTTCTACATATATGTATATATAGACTAGTACTTCCGTGTCTTCTGGTATCTCTGTGTAAGTTCCTAAACGCGAAACCCTTGTTAAATACAACTTCCCTAGCTGATTCCGTAACAGACCCTAAACCGCAAACCGTAACGGAGAGGGGAACTCGGTTCAATAGTCGGTTGGGGCCTGGGGGCGGAGTTCAAGTTGAGCGTTGAGGGTGGTCTAAACTCCACACCCCAACTTGAGGTACAAGTAGGGCTCTGAGAGGCCAGGCCCCCCGCCCCCCAACCCCAAGCCCCCTCCTGGTTTCGACCCGCGACCCACACCCCTCGACCCTGGACCCGAAAACCTAGACCCTAGACCTGTACCCTGGACCCGACGCCCTTGAGTTCGGCTCAGAGGGTTAAGGGTTAAGGGTTTAGGGTTTAGGGTTTAGGGCTTAGGGTTTAGGGTTTAGGGTGCTCTTGTGTTCAGGACTCGCACTACATCTTCCCGAGGGCCGCTTTGCCGGCCTATGTGGTGGGGGCACACAGCCGATTTTGCATTGAGGGTTGGAGGTTTAGGGGTTCAGAACCCTAAACCCTAAACCCTAAACCCTGAACCCTGAACCCTAAACCCTAAACCCTAAACCCTAAACCCTGAACCCTGAACCCTGAACCCTGAACCCTGAACCCTGAACCCTGAACCCTGAACCCTGAACCTGAACCCTGAACCCTGAACCCTGAACCCTGAACCCACCAAGCTACTGGCTTTTGGCTTCAAGGGCCCTGGGAGTGCAGAGAATCGGGGCTCAGGGTTTAGGGTTTAGGGGTTATAGGTAAACCCTAAACCCTAAACCCTAAACCCTAAACCCTAAACCCTAAACCCTAAACCCTAAACCCTAAACCCTAAACCCTAAACCCTAAACCAGAGTGCCAAGTCGATTGCATAGGGGAAGGCATCGTGCAGGCCACCATAAGGGGCTGCGTCGAGGTGCAGATGGCCTCAGGGCTTATAAACCCTAAACCCTAAACCCTAAACCCTAAACCCTAAACCCTAAACCCTAAATCGTGGCCACTTCCAAGCCTACAATGGCCGGCCCTGAACGTGAGAAGCCGCAATCTGAAGCCAAGCGATGATGACACTAGTAAGCTGGGAACCCTAAACCCAAAACCCCAAACCTTGAACCCTAAACCCCAAATCCTGAACCCTGGACCTAAACATCCCCAAGCTCTAGACCCTGGGACCTCCACACCCTAAACCCTAAACCCTAAACCCTAAACCCTAAACCCTAAACCCTAAACCCTAAACCCTAAACCCTAAACCCTAAACCCTAAACCCTAAACCCTAAACCCTAAACCCTAACCCCTAGACCCTAGGCAGACGCGTACTACTGCTTCTTCCACCACCCAATGGGTTTCACGGGGCTGTCGCATGGGGCCCTCTTCTGCTACCAGGCAGGGCCTCTCCCCGAAACCTGAAGGGTTTAGGGTTTAGGGTTTAGGGTTCTAGGGTTTAGGGTTTAGGGTTTAGGGTTTAGGGTTTAGGGTTTAGGGTTTAGGGTTTAGGGTTTAGGGTTTAGGGTTTTAGGGTTTTAGGGTTTTAGCGCTTTAGGGTTTTAGGGTTTAGGGTTTAGGGCTTAGGGCTTAGGGTACAGGGTTTAGGGTTCAGGGTTCATTTGAAACTAGAAGCCCTAAACAGCTAACCCTCAGTTTCAGAAAGATGCCTTGAATAGAGAATATGCCCGATGAAGAGACTGTACCTTAACCGAACATACCGTGACTAAGGAGATTTGCCAGTTAAGGGAATTTACCTTGATTAAAGAATCTAGTTTTCTGCCCCCACCTCACCCACCCAAACTAAGGCCCAAATAGCCAATGAAGTGCCTTGTTGGGCCGTGGAATTGCATGACTGTGTAGGGCTTTGGATGCTGGATTCGTCAGGCAGTGGTCTTCGAAAGCGCTCATGGTGAGGGGTTCCGGGTTTCTAAGGTATTCTAAGGTAAGCACTCGGCAAACATCTCCGCCAAAGGATGCCCAAAGAAAATTGACACGAAATGCTCTCCTGCAAAGCATCCGGGGGACGGTATGCTAGTACATCAGGCAAAAGTCCTACGCACGCTAGAGACACAGAGTGACAAAGCTACTGGCCTAGCTGCGTGGGAAGGCTGAGTGAGAGTCTGGCAAGATGTTGCACAACACACACACACACACAGGCACAGGTTCACAGACGCAGACGCAGACACAGACGCAGACACGCGCACGCGCACGCACACATGCACGCGCACGCGCACGCGCACGCGCACGCGCACGCGCACGCACACGCGCGCGAGCGCGCGCGCGCGCGCGCGCCTAATGCATGTCAAGTGCAGCGCCGCTGAACTTTCTTCTTGCCTTTCAACCCTAAACCCTAAACCCTAGACCCTAAACCCTAAACCCTAAACCCGAAACCCGAAACCCCAAACCCTAAACCCTAAACCCGAAACCCGAAACCCCAAACCCTAAACCCTAAACCCGAAACCCTAAACCCTAAACCCTTTATAAACCCTAAACCCGAAACCCGAAGCCCGAAACTCGAAACTCGAAACCCCAAGCCCTCTGACTTTCAGGGCACCGAACCCTGAGTCCCCCAAAATGAGCCTGGACTCGGTTTAGGGTTTAGGGTTTAGGGTTTAGGGTTTAGGGTTTAGGGTTTAGGGTTTAGGGTTTAGGGTTTAGGGTTTAGGGTTTAGTTGAACCCCTGAGCTTGGGATGTTCCCCCTTATGCTCACAGTCCTTAATTGGGATTAAGGTTCAGGGTTCAGGGTTTAGGGTTTAAAGTTTAGGGTTTAGCGTTTAGGGATGTACCCCCTCTAACACTCCCTATGCAGGACTGGTAGTAAAAGGGGGAACATCCCAACCCTGAACCCTTTCAGGTTTTTGGGTTTTGGGCGCCAGGGGTTGGAGGGTTTAGGTTTTAGGGTTAGAGGTTTAGAGGTTTAGCGGCGTGAGGGATCAGGTTTTATTTTTTTGCTGGATTTTGGGATTTGAAGTTCTGTCAAAAGGCCTTCCTGCTGGCAGTCCTTTGGGGCCACTTCGAGACGGTGGTGCCGTTGCGTGGCCCTTACTGCCAGGAGCGCTCCCAGCTCCAAAGAACCCCCGAAACCCTGAACCCTAAACCCCAAACCCTAAACCCTTAAACCTAAACCCTAAACCCCAAACCCTAAGCCTAGTTGCATCGGTACTTGCCAAGCTCACGGCAAGAATTGTGATGAGGACATTTGTACGTCGAAGCAAAGTAAGTCGGTGCCTGTCGGAAGGGAAGAACGTTCAAAGGGTCCTGAATGGAGAGTTTAGTTAGGGTTTAGGGTACGTAGGGAACCTTACGGAAGCTTAGGGGACATCCCCTTGGCCGAAGATTTCAAAGGGGGTGTTGATAGCAGGGTTCTGGGGTTTCGGTGTCCTGATGATGTGTTACTTGGACGTGAAGGGCTTATTCCCATGACAAGTCTGCGCAGCAACATTATGGTAACAACAACTAAAGTGGCAATGAAAATAGCGACAGCCCCAAACCCTAAACGGCAAACCCTCGACAATGATCGTGTAGTAGGGTTTAGGGTTTAGGGTTCAAGGGCCGCTCTACTACATTCTTCAGGAGTTGTTTAGGGATCATGCTGGGGATCCTCTCACGAGCCCGCAAGCACCAGCAAGTCAGTGTCCCGGTGACATCAAAGAGCTACTGTAGCCAAAGTGAAAGCAAAGTACAGAGGCCTGCTGATGAATCATACTACAATCGTAATACTAGTATATACTAGTTGCAAGATTTACTGAACTATACATTGACCACAGAAATTAGACTAACAACGTTTCCGATGTTTAACTTCCGTGCTTAACTGTGGAATCCCTTGTTGTTGTACATGAAGCGTGCAAGAGATGACGCGCTGCACGTCTACAGCGCAGTGTCTGGGGAAGAGTTGGCCGCGGTGAGTGTCGAGGAGTTTCCCACTGTGCGCAGCTTGAAGCAGCACTTGCAGGGCTGCTGCGGGGTGCCCAGATTCCGACAGAGGCTGCTTGCCGACGACACGAACCTGCAGGATGATGCTATGCTGGGCCAGCTAGGCTCCAGCAACCTTCGGCTTGTTCTTCTGCCTTTCGCGTCGGGGCAGCACGCGGGCAAGCTCACGGGCGCCGTAAACCGAGGCGCGGTACAACAGGTTGAAGCTCTGCTGCAGAGGCCACAGAATCCTGACCTGAGAGACCGATTTGGGCAGACTCCTCTTTATGCTGCTGCCCTCAGAGGGCGCCGCGAGATTGTAGAGCTGCTCTTAGAAGCCCGGGCCCGGGGCAGCACGCGGGCAAGCTCACGGGCGCCGTAAACCGAGGCGCGGTACAACAGGTTGAAGCTCTGCTGCAGAGGCCACAGAATCCTGACCTGAGAGACCGATTTGGGCAGACTCCTCTTTATGCTGCTGCCCTCAGAGGGCGCCGCGAGATTGTAGAGCTGCTCTTAGAAGCCCGGGCCAATGTGGAAAAGAGGTACACCTTCAGGATAGAATCTCGGTATAGGCCTCTGGGAGATTTGCTGCTTTCCCTTCGTAGGTTTTTTCGAGGATCATATGTAGGAGCTAGTTTTTTTTAGAGGGTTTGCCCTAAACCCTAAACCCTAAACCCTAAACCCTAAACCCTAAACCCTAAACCCTAAACCCTAAACCCTAAGCCCTAAACCGTAAACCCCAAACTTTTAAGTGCCATCCCAGGAAGATGACGGACCGGCTCGTGCCAGATCGCCTCTGGGCGCTGCAGCCCTCAATCGCCACGAAGAAGTCGTGCGCCTGCTGCTTTGTCATGTTTAGGGTTTAGGGTTTAGGGTTTAAGGTTTAGGGTTTAGGGTTTAGGTTTGGCATCATTTTACATTTTCAGGGTACATAAACCCAATAAGGAATAACAAACTCGATTTTTACTACCATCTCCCAACCATGAACTAGGCTGCTGGAAGCCAATGCAGACCCGAACAGATTTGGTGGCAATTATTATGGGAACGAGGGCATGGATGACTATGTGATGTCCGCCCTCAGAACGCCTCTGTGGCGGGCTACTTATGATGGCTACAGGAACATCGTGCGCTTATTGCTGCAATTTTCCGCTGATGCTTCCAAAGTGGCTACCGCAGCTTACAATTTCAGTACACCTCTTGGCATCGCTTGTTCAATGCCAGGCCGCTTGGAGATTGCCCGCATGCTGCTGGAGGCCAGAGCAAACGCAGATGAGATTTGTGGTGAAAACGGCCTGACACCTGTCGAGGTGGCAGCTCGTAGCGGGAACGATGAAATTGTAAAGTTGGTCTCCAGGCTTGCTGTTGCGCCCGCGCGGAACTCGTGGATGGTTCGGGATGCTGCGCCGCCCGCTCTCGCTGCAGCTGCGCCCGCGCGGAGGACGTTCTCGCAGAGGCTTCGGGAAATTCGGGAGGCCAAGTAGGGTGGCAGCGGAAAGCGGGCGTGCAGGAAACCAAATCCAAGCAAAAACTGCAAAGCTCCCGGGCGTTCTTAGTGTCTAGGAGCAGTGGCTTCTCCAAACAAAAGCCTTCAAATGGTTTATGGAAACCATGCTACCCGAGCTGAATACGCCACTTCTACAACCCGAACTAGCGTACCAGGCAGGACAAAAAGCAGCAAATCTTCACTTGGTCGGGTTTGGAGGTTTTCGTCAGCTTTTGCTGAAGGCTTCCAGTTCATGGTGTGTTATGGAGAAAGGTAGGGATTTATGGGGTGGTCTTGCTTTGGAGTTTTGGGGGGGCTGAGGTGTGAATTTTGCGAGATGGCTTTGTTTGGGGACGTGTCGGGCTGCTGCCTTCCGAGGCTTTGCAAACTGTGTTATGGATTCTTGTTTGGATATTGAGAGGTGCTTGTTGTTTTGTGGTTTTGGAATGGTTGACTTTCTAGGATAGTTGAGAAGTGGTGCAAACGCGTCAGGCGGTGCATAGGATGTGAGGTCTGCGGTATGCCAGCGCCTGCTGAAGTACCCTAGTCCCCACGCCTCCAAGGACCTAAGAGTTAGGTACTTGGTACGCCATCTGCCGATCAGGGTTCGGGGTTTAGGGCTTGTTGTACAGGCACTTGGCAGCAGAGGGTTATCGATGGAATGTGGTCGGCTACGATACAAAATGTTAGGGTGCGTTCTCAGTTCTTAGCCCCACACCCTTAAACATCCCGAGCTCTAGCGCCCCGGGCCGCCAGCTCAAAACACCATCATCCAGGGCTTGAATATCTAGTAATCATACAGAAAGGTACACTGTGGTGGCCTCTAATGTTTGCATCTGGTGCTTGTCCTTCTTGATCAAAAGTGGGTTGTAAGATCAAGTCCATCTAGCAAGTCCGATGATCAAGTCTCCTTAAAACCCTAATCCTAAAACCCTAAATCCTAAACCCTAAACCCTTAGGGAGTCGTGGGGAGTAATCGGGAACCTTTGGTGAAACCGGTTAGATACCCACCCTAAACCTTAAACCCTAAACCCTAAACCTAAACCCTAAACCCTAAACCCTAAACCCTAAACCCTAAACCCTAAACCCTAAACCCTAAACCCTAAACCCTAAACCCTAAACCCTAAACCCTAAACTTATAAGTGTACTTGTAAACATATTAGGGCACTTAAGGGGCTTCTAAGGTGGGTTATAAGTCTACGCTTACAATGGGTTACTAAGTACCCTGAACCTCCAAGACGACTCCGGGGATGATGCTCGTGCATTACTTGAACTGGTCAAGGTCCGATTCCAGTGAAAGGGATACCCCCCAAACCCCAAACCCCAAACCCCAAACCCCAAACCCCAAATCCCAAACCCCAAACCCCAAATCCCAAACCCCAAACCCCAAAGCCCAGACCCCAGACCCCAGACCCCAGACCCCAGACCCCAGACCCGAAACCCGAAACCCTAAACCCTAAACCCCAAACCCGAAACCCGAAACCCCAAAACCCTAAACCCTAACACCCCAAACCCTAAACCCTAAACCCCAAATCCTAAACCCTAAACCTCAAGAGGCCCACCTACTCCCTGGACCAGCTCAACGTCGAGGTCCGGCTCCGGCCCAGCAGGAGCCCGCAGGCGTGTTTTTCAGGGCTTTAGGGCTCTATAGGGTTTAGGTTTAGGGTTTAGGGTTTAGGGCGTCAGCTTTTAGGGTGCCAGGGTTCTAAGGGTCCGCGTTTTCGGGTTCTCTTAGGTTTTGGGGTTCCAGTTTTCTTAAACCCTAAACCCTAGAGGTCTTCTCTGCTTTCTTGTTTTTTCGTCAGCCGGAGTGAAGGTTTGCAGGTCTTCTTGCATTAAGGGGGTTTCCGGGATCTGGCTCTATACCCCAAACCGCACAACCCCTAAGACCCTAAACCCTCAAGTGTACAGCGGCGCCGCAATTCCTCCTAACCCCTAACTCCTAACCCCTAAACCCTAAACCCTAAACCCTAAACCCTCAACCCTAAACCCTAAACCCTAAATCCTAAACCCTGAACCCTAAACCCTAAATCCTAAATCCTAAGCCCGAAACCCGAAACCCTTAACCTAAACCCTGAACCCTAAACCCACCCTAAACCCCAAGCTCCCCCCCTGCGAGGCTCACACAGTGCAGCTTTCGCCGGCTGTGCAGAAGCTGCTCCTGGAGCAAGGGTTGGAATCCGAGACTTAGGGTTTAAGGTTTAGGGTTTAAGGTTTAGGGTTTAGGGCTCGGGAACAGGGCAGGGGTTCTAAGGGTATTTGCAGGGTCCCTTAAATATGGTCCCTTACCTTCTGTAAAGGGTTCTGAAGTACGGGCCCCTAGGGTTGTACAGGGTAGATCAGCATACTAAGAGACCATGTAACTGCCCTAAGAGGGTGGTGTGATGGTTTAATATCCGTTCGTTGTTTTGCGTTTTCATTTTTTGGCATTCATATTCCGTAATGCTCAGTGTTTATTGGGTTTGATATTGATTTGTTCAGTTGTTCATGATACGATTTGGATTTAGGGGCGTAGGTTTCCTTCAATACCAAACGGAAGTTGCTTCTGGGTAGCAGAGAACCCCTGCAAATCGAGCCCACTAAAAAGAATGGGAACTCTCTTCTTTGACAGGTAGTCGTAAGGTTGCAACCATAGGCTCTTAGTATAGTCCCTGACCCTTCCTTATGGGGATCCGAAGTATGTGCCCTTAATACATGAAGTGTATGTAATGGGGTTTAGGGTTTAGGGTTTAGGGTTTTTAGGGTTTTTAGGGTTTAGGGTTTAGGGTTTAGGGTTTAGGGTTTAGGGTTATATAACAAGGGGACCCAACTTAAGGGCCCCATACTTGAAACCTTAGAGGTAGCCCCCGTTTTTCCTCGGCCGTCCATCTCCCTTTGCCCGCAGCTGTATCCTAAACCCGAAACCACAAACCCTAAAACCCTAAAGCCCTAAACCCTAGACCCTCAACCCTAAGCCCTCAGCCCTAGACTCTACAACCTCAAGCCTAACCCCTATTCCAAAGTCTTAGCTCAGAACCTGCTGAGCGCGAACAGGCTTCTCCTACTCGGGGACAACACGCCCAGCTCTCAAAATGTGGGTGAAGTGTAGGGTTTGGAGCAAGTTAGCGGAATAAGGGCTTATGAAAGAGAATGCAGTCTTCTTACCAAGTTACCAGAACATGGGTTTACAAACAGACACTGTGGTGTCCTTACTGCGGCCCGCATAATTCGAGTTCCTTAGCCGGAGCCGCGTGGCGAGTTTGGCGTTGCCACTGAAACCCCAAACCCAAAAAACCCTAAACCCTAAACCCTAAATCCTAAACCCTAAAACCTAAACTCCTAACCCCCTGAACCCCAAACCCCTAACCCTAAACCCTAAACCCTAAACCCTAAACCCTGTAAAATGGACAAGGCCAAGCTCTCGGCCTCCGGCCAAGCTCAAAACACACCTGGGGTTTCTGGTCAAGAAACTCAAGTGGAGGCACTAGACTATGCGTACTTCTTGGGTTTAGGGTTTAGGGTTTAGGGTTTAGGGTTTAGGATTTGGGGTTTAGGGTTTAGGGTTTAGGGTTTAGGGTTGAGGGATGTTAAGCTATTGACAAAACCCTAAACCTTAAACCCGAAACCCTAAACATCCAGTTTAAGCCCCACAAAGAACCCCGAGAACCCCGGCCGGCGCTCCAAAACGCACCAAGGGCGCTTGTGTTTTCCCGATCCCAGCCCAGGTTCCGAGCGGGCAGGAGACATCCAATTCCCTTTCCCCTAACTCCCAAACTTCGGGAGGGTTTAGGGTTTAGGGTTTAGGGTTTAGGGTTTAGGGTTTAGGGTTTTGGGTTTACCTTGAGTCGCTTCCCTTGCGACGCACCCGGAGCCTGTACCCTTAGCAAACCCTCAAGCCTAAACCCTCAACCCTCAACCCTCAACCCTGAACCCTGAACCCTCAACCCTGAACCCTAAACCCTAAACCCCAAACCCTGAACCCTATATAAACCCTAAACCCTAAACCCTAAACCTAACAGACCCTGACTCGCCCCAAGGTCTTACGAGACCGGCATGGTCATGAGCGCTGTTGTCTCCAGGGCTGTACAGACAATCGAGGCATGGCACGTGGGGCCCTGCCTTACCCTAAACCCTAAACCCAAAGCCCAAAACCCTTAACCCTGAACACTAAACCCTAAACCCTCATTAAGAACTCGTATGATCAAACAACGAAGCACAATTAAGTGCCCGAAACAGCAGTTGGGGTTTAGGGTTCAGGGTCTAGGGTTCTTTCGGTGTTTAGAGTTTGCATCTGCATCTGGGGTTGAGGGTTCCTTGCCCGAGGGGGGTTCGGACAGGACGGATCTCCTTTTACGTCTGCTTCGGGCACATGGGGCCATGTGGGGTCGATTCCATAAAGGTTTTTTGCGAAAGAACACAACATAGAATGTAGATCACACCCCCCCATATGTGCATTTTCCAAAAAACGGGGGTCCGCTTATTGCACGATGGTCCTTCGACAGGGTACCCCTATGTTGGGAAATCTCCATATGGAGAACCGAGAGCCTATTTTGGTTTTGGGCTGAAGGCTTAGGGGTTTACATGGAGGGTTGAGCATCGCAAAGCAAGAGAACGACAAGTTCGTCTGGCACAGGCTGGACACATAGCAGAGAGGATTGGTCGACGAAACACAGAACTTGCTGCGCGAAACCCCAAACCCCAAACCCCAAAACCCTAAACCCTAAACCCTTAACCCTAAACCCGAAACCCTAAACCCTAAACCTTAGACCCTGAACCCTGAACCGTAAACCCTAAACTCTTTCTTGGGTGGATCTCTCTCGACCCCAGCCACTGCCTGGGCATTTTATCATGGAGTTTTTTGGTGAGGCAGGACACCCAACAATGTTTTAGGGTTGCAAGCACCCCCCCCCCCCGTCCCCTAAACCCTAAACCCTAAACCCTAAACCCTAAACCCTAAACCCTAAACCCTAAACCCTAAACCCTAAACCCTAAACCCTAACACCTAAACCCTAAACCCTA